CCTGTTCAAAGTAATACCTCCCTAGAGTTAACCGTTCACCTAGTAGGTCTATTGTTTGGCTGAAAGTTGAGATTTTTTTGACTCTTATATTAAGATGAATTGATAGAGTGACATATTGGGTATTAGTGAAATGAGATGGATTGGCATGGGATATTTTGAATCCCACGATCATATGATCTCTTAGGCTGGAGATGAAAAGGCGATGAAAAAACAGGGTCACTTTCATAGTGAAAAAGGCCATTTCTAGATCCATCCTGAAATACAGTATTGTGAGTGACAGGATAACATCCATACACATACAAGGAAGACCTATTAATACCAATATCATTCAAATTTATGCACCTACAACCAGAGTCAAAGAGGAGGAAATAGATGATTTCTACCAACTGTTGCGGTGATAAATTGATCGAATGTGTAACCAAGATGCTTTAATAATAATGAGTGACTGGAATGCAAAAGTTGGGAACCAGGAAGAAGGATCAATAGTTGGAAAATATGGACTTGGTGACAGAAATGAGGCTGGGGATAAAAGAATAGAAGGATAGATTTTGTACAATCAATGATTTATTGATAGCAAATACCTTTTGTAAGAGAGAAAAATGCAAGCTAAACACATGGATTTCATCTGATGGGATGGATGCACAGGAATCAGATTGATTACGTCTGTGAAAGGAACCATTGGAGCTCAATAACAGCAGTAAAAACTAGGCCAGGTGCTGACTGTGGAACAGACCATCTACTGCTCATATGCAAGTTCAAATTAAAACTAAAGAAGGTTAAATCCTATCCACAGTAATCAAAATTTGACCTTGAATCTATCTCACATAAATTTAAATACGAACTCAGGAATAGCTTTGAGGCCTTGAACACTAATGAACAAAGACCAGATAGGCTGTGGAAGATATCAAGAATATCATTAATGACGAAAGCAGAAAGTCATTACTAAAAAAGAAGAAAAAGAAAAGATCAAAATGGGTTCAAATCCACCAGATGCTTTGCTAGCGAAGGAGGAACAATCTCCTCCTGTACCTGTCAGATCTGATTTGATGGTGCGCGCGCGTGCGCGCGCACACACACACATAATAACTTAAAAAAAAGAAAATATCAAAATGAATGTCAGAAGAGACTCTGGATATTGCTCTAGAGCACTGAGAAGCCAAAGCAAAGGGAGGAAATCAAGAAGTTAAGCTAAATAGATTTCAAAGGGCTGCTTGGGAAGACAAGGCAAAATAATTATAATGAAATGTGCAAAGAGCTGGAGTCAGAAAATCAAAAGGGCCGAACTCACTCAGCATTTCTTAAGCTGAAAGAACTAAAGAATAAATTCAAAGCACAAGTTGCAATGCTTAAGGATACTATGGGAAGAATAGTGAATGATTCAAGAAGCATTAAAAGCAGATGAAAGGAGTGTATAGTCATTGTACCAAAAAGAATTGGCTAATACAAGAGGAATTTTAAGAAACAACGTATGAGCAAGAGGCATTGGTGATGGAGGAGGAAGTGCAGGTTGCTCCGAAGGACATGGCAAAAAATAAAGCCCCAAGAATTGATGGAGCACCAGCTGATGTGTTACTGCAAACAGATGCTGCGCTGCATGTGCTCACCAACTTGTACCAAGAAATCTGGAAGAAAACTACTTGGCCAACTGACTGAAAGAGATCCGTATTTGTTCCCATTCCAAAAAAAGATGACTCTACAGAGTGTGGAAATTATTGGACAATATCACTAATATCATGCACTAGCAAAATCCTATTGAAGATTATCCAGAAAAGACTGGAACAGGACATTGACAGAGAACTACCAGAAGTACAAGCTAGGTTTAGAAGAGATCATGGCACTAGAGACATTATTGCCATTGTCAGATGGATCTTGCAGAAAGCAGAGAGTACCAAAATAATGTCTATCTGTGTTTCATTGACTATGCAAAGGCATTTGACTGTGTGAATCACAATAAATTGTAGCTAACCTTGAGAAAAATGGGAATCTCAGAACACTTGATTGTGCTTATACGAAACCTGCACTTGGACCAAGAAGCAGTCCTCAGAAAAGAGCAAGAAAACACTGCATGGTTCAAAATAAGGAAAGGAGTGTGTCAGGGATACATCCTGTTCTCCCCACCCTTAACCCCATACCTTTTTAATCTGTATGCAGAACAGATCATTCAGGAAGCAGGGCTTTATGATTAGGAGTGTGGCATCGATATTGGAGGAAAACGCATTAACGACCTATGATATGTAGATGACACAACCTTCCTTGCTGAAACAAAAAAACACCTGAAACACTTGCTGCAAAAAGTCAAGAACTGGGTTGGGGGGGGGGGGGGGGGGGATTAGAGAAAAAAGTGCAACAGTGAATGAATGGAAATCCAAAATCTCTGTAAATGTTCATTAAAATTAATAAAATATATATGTATATTTTTTTTAAAAAGTTCAAGGACTGTAGTCTTCCATATGGATTGAATCTCAACATCAAGAAGACAAAGATTCTTACCACTGGACAAATTGTTGTTGTTGTTGTTATGTGCCGTCAAGTCGTTTGCGACTCATAGTGACCCTATGTACAACAGCCCTAAACCCTGCTCTATCCTGTGCCAATCACATTGCCTCTGACACACCCATCCCGATTACCCCAGTCACTGAATCAGTCCACCTCATAGAGGGTCTTCCCCTCCTGCGCTGTCCCTCCACCCTCCCAAGCATGATGTCCCTCTCCAAGGACCTGTCTCCTTACAACATGTCCAAAGAATGTCAGAAAAAGCCCCAGAATCCTTACCTCCAAGGACTAGCCTGGTTTAAACCTCTCCAGGATGAATCTGTTTGTTTTCTTGGCAGTCCATGGTACATTCAATACTCTTCTCCAGCACCACAGCTCAAAGGCGTCAATTCTCCTTCTATTCTCCCTAATCATCGTCCAGCTCTCTGATGCATAACAAGTGATTGCAAAGACCATGGCCTGTATCAGGCATACCTTAGTCTCCAGAGAGACACCGTTGCTCTTGAGTACTTTAGAGAGGTCCCTAATAGCAGACTTTCCCATCACAATTTGTTTTTTGATTTCCTGGCTACTGGTGCCAAGAGTGTTGACCATGGAGCCGAGCAAACTGAAGCTGTGAACAATCTCAATCTCTTCGCCATCCATCCTGATGCTACCAATTGGTCCAGTGGTGAGAATCTTTGTCTTCTTGACATTGAGCCTCAGTCCATACTGAAGGCTGCAGTCCTTGACCCTCTGCAACAAGTGCATGATATCTTCCTCAGTTTCAGCAAGGAGGGTTGTGTCATCTGCATAACGCAGATTGTTAATAGATCTTCCACCAATCCTGACGCCACAGTTGTCCTCATAGATCCCAGCTTCTCGGATAATCTGCTCTGCATACAGGTTGAAAAGGTATAGAGATAGGGCACATCCCTGGCGTACACCCTTCCCAGTTTTGAACCATGCGGTGTTACCCTGCTCTGTTCTGATGACCGCCTCTTGGTCCAAGTATAGGTTTCGCATTAGCACGATTAAAAGTTCTGGGATTCCCATTCTTCTCAGAGTCAGCCACTGTTTGTTATGATCCACACAGTCAAATGCCTTTGCATAATCAATGAAACCAATTAGCAGCACCATATTAGATGGAGAAGAGATTGAGGTTGTTAGAAATTACAGCTTGCTCAGATCCACAATCAGCACTTAACACCAGCAGTCAGGAAATCAAAAGACAGTTTGCATTGGGAAAATCTGCTGTCATGGATCTCTTCAGAGTGATGATACAGTGATGATTCAGTCTAGATACAAAGGTGCACCTAATTCAGGCCATCGTTTTCTCAATTAGTTGTTATGCTTCACAGAGTTGGACAATGATTCAGGATGACAAAAGAATAGATGCCTTTGAGATGTATTGCTGAAGAGAGTCTTGAACATACCATGGACTGCCAGAAAGCAAATAGGTCTGTCTTAGGATGAAACCAAGGATCTCCTTGGTGGCTATGATTTTGAAGCTCAGCCTCACTTACTTAGGGCACAAAGCCAGGAGAGATCGGTCCTTGGAGAAGACCATCATGCTCAGAAGGGTGGACAGATAGCACAGGAGAGGATGACTCCTGATGAAATGGATTGAAACAGTAACTGGGGCCGTGGGGGTTGATGTGTTGGAATTAGTGAGACTGGCTCAGAATAGGGAAGGGTTCAGAGCTGCTGTACATAGAGTTGCTATACATCGCAGGCGCCTCAAATGGCACATAAGAACAATAACATATTATGACAGGTTTGAAAGCAGGAGTGACATCCACTTCCTAAGTAACATGCCTGCAGAAACTCTATGAACTTTGATAAATGTTAGTAATTGTAGAGGGGCTTCAGGCATTTTGTTCATAGTGTTGCTATGAGTTGTGCTCAACTTGAAGGCAATCAACAACAACAACACGCTGTATTTAAAGTTAGGGAGAAAAGTAACTTTTTGATACCACTCACTTTTTTAAAAGTTAGATGATGTTTAGAAAATGAGCCAGTAAGGTTGTACTTACATATTTTAAACTATATATCCTAAATAAACATACGTACTATTACTTATTGATGATTGTGCTTGATTATTTTTAATAGAACTCGAATTGCATGGTGGTTAATTGCTTGATCACTGTCTGAGGTTCACAGTTCAAATCTACTATCCATTTTGAAAGAGAAAAATATGCAAGTCTGTTCCTGTAAAGACTTAAAGCCTTTTGGAGAGTTCTACTCTGTTTTTTAGGATTGCTGTGAGTTAGAATCAGTTTGATAGCAATGGATACTGTTTTGAAGTCAAAACAAAAATAATTATTATCTCATTATTTTTCTCAATGATGGAAAATCTATGTGGCTCACAAGTAAAATGCTACCTTGTACTTTATATTTTTACTTATTTTAACTGCTTTCAAATGATACAAGGATAAATAAATATCACTGCTGAATTTGGAAATCTAAATTGTTAAGATAGAATAATTAAAAAATTGTTCACATCTTGTATTTGTGTTTTTCTTTAGGTTTCCAGATTGTGATGAGCCATATCCTCGACTTGTGGACCTGAATTTAGCTGGAGAGCCCACAGAAGGAGCCCCAGTGGCAGTGCAGAGGGACTATGGTTTTTGGTGTCCCCGCGAGTTGAAAATTGATCCCGATCTTGGCTATTCTTTTTTACGTGTGCGTGATTGTTCACCTCCTTGTCCAAATATGTACTTTAGGAGAGAAGAACTTTCATTTGCTCGATATTTCATAGGATTGATTTCAATCATTTGCCTCTCTGCCACATTGTTTACTTTTTTAACTTTTTTGATTGATGTTACAAGATTCCGCTATCCTGAAAGGCCTATTATATTTTATGCAGTCTGCTACATGATGGTATCATTAATTTTCTTCATTGGATTTTTGCTTGAAGACCGAGTAGCCTGCAATGCCTCTAGCCCTGCACAGTATAAAGCTTCCACAGTGACACAAGGATCTCATAATAAAGCCTGCACCATGCTTTTTATGGTACTCTATTTCTTTACTATGGCTGGCAGTGTTTGGTGGGTAATTCTTACCATCACGTGGTTTTTGGCAGCTGTACCAAAGTGGGGCAGTGAAGCTATCGAGAAGAAAGCCTTGTTATTTCACGCCAGTGCATGGGGCATCCCTGGAACTCTAACTATCATCCTTTTAGCGATGAATAAAATTGAAGGTGACAATATTAGTGGCGTGTGTTTTGTTGGCCTCTACGATGTTGATGCATTGAGATATTTTGTTCTTGCTCCCCTCTGCCTTTATGTGGTAGTTGGGGTTTCTCTCCTCTTAGCCGGCATTATATCCCTAAACAGAGTTCGAATTGAAATTCCATTAGAGAAGGAAAATCAAGATAAATTGGTGAAGTTTATGATCCGGATTGGTGTTTTCAGCATTCTGTATCTTGTACCACTCTTGGTTGTAATTGGATGCTACTTTTATGAGCAAGCTTACCGAGGCATCTGGGAAACGACATGGATACAAGAGCGCTGCAGAGAATATCACATTCCATGTCCATATCAGGTAAGGAAGAAAGCCTTGTTATAAATTTCAGTATGTATAAAACTGTAAGAAGCTAATCTTTGTTATTTAAAGGAAAAAATCTCAAGTTTTCATGTACTCTAACGGGTACCTTAAAATATTAAAAGGGGGGAAATGAACAAATATATTGTAATAAATATGTAAAATGCAGGTTTATATAAATTCCTTTAAAATAAGAGTTTTACAAGTCTCAGCAATTGCCTCTTGAAACATTTTACTTCTGTTAGCACAAAGCAGTTGTAGAATTCTGAAGGTTTTTGGGGAAGAAGTATGTTATCAACTCGGGCAAAAGGATTCTTTTGGTACAAATTTGATTCAAAGTCACAGTAGGAATTGTTAATTGTTTTATCATTTTTATTAGCATAATAGAATACATTTGTGCAAACTGGTTAATCTCTGATTGGAATTGGTTTTATGATTTCTTTTTTTAATTGAAAGATCACTTTTAAAACTTAAAATTCTTTCAGGTTCTTTCTGTGATTTATAGTTCTTCCACATTGACATAATTTGAGGCTTAGGAATGAATGAATGTTAAGTCACTTGCTCATACTCAGTAAATGGCCAACTGGGGTTTAAACCAAGGAGAGAAATGGTGAGAGAAGCAGTTCAGGGGAGTTAAGACTGAACGTATTTACCCCTCCCACCCTAAAACCTCTAGCACCTACACCTGTATTCTTACCCTTTGACTGTTTTTTTTTAAAGGGCCAAAAATGCAATAATTATTTATTATTTAATGGGTTTTTTTGCATCATCTATTGGTTTTCTTAGCAATCCATGGTGTGTTCAATACTGTTTTCCAGCAGCACTTCCCAAAATCATTGGTTCTTCTGTCATTCTTATCCATGGTCCAGCTCTCTGATGCATAACAAGTAATTGCAAAAACCTTTGTCTGGATTGGCTACAACTTAGTCTCTCGACTGACACCATTGCTCTTCAAAACTCTGGAGAAGTACCTGACAGCAAATTTACCAAATGCAATTCATCTTTTTGTTTCCTGACTGTCAGTACGAAGAGTGTTGATTGTGGAACTGAGCAAGATGAAATTATTAAGAACCTCAATCTCTTCTCCATCTATCATGGTGTTGCCAATTGACCCAGTGGTGAGAATCTTTATCTTGTTGATGTTGAGCTTCAATCTATATTGGAGACTTCAGTCCTTAACCTTCTTCAGTAATATTTCAGGTTCTCCTCAATTGCAGCAAACAAAATTGCATCATTTGCATAGCACAGGCTTAAATAATAACGGTACAGTTTTTATAAAATTCTAAAGCCAAAGTTTATTGAAAGAACATAAAATGGATTTGATTTTTTTAATTTCCTGAATTCTTATTAGTTGCTGTCAGGTTGACTACAACTCATAACGATCCTATGAACAACAAATCTAAACCCCGTCCCTTGCTGTACCATCATCACAATCTCTATCATATTCATACCCATTGTGGCAGTCACTAGGTCAACCCCTCTTGTTGAGAGTCTTCCTCGTTTGTTTGGGTTTTGTTTTTTGTTTGTTGTGGGTTTTTTTCTTGCATATTTCTTTCCTTTCCCAGCCTGGATCTTTTTCTAATGATGGTTCCTGAGTTCTTAGTAGGATTCATTCATGTCACTGAAGTTCATTATACTCCAGGCTCTCGAAATTGTATCTGGAATATAATACTGTGCCTAGTTGGGGCATACCCTTCAAATTTTTAAAACATGTTTTCTTGAAAGAGTATCCACATTTTGGTGTATTCCATTCATAATATTCCAGTTGTCCTATATTCTCAGTGTGCCAGCTACCCTGTCCTCTCTTTTAATCTTTGTTTCTTTGAATACTTTTTTTATAGATTGTAGGTATTTTTTGTTTACTCATCTGTTTCCCTTCCTAAGCAGTGAGCTCTTTTTGAAGATACAAAATGTCTTTTTCCTGCTTTTTGAATGCATATTCCACTTGGTACATGGGAAATTACATCAATGGAAATGAACTAAGAAGTGTATGGTTTAGCATATGGACAATACTCATAAATATTTGACATCCTAGCATGCCAGTTTCTTTTCTTTGTTTTATAAATATTATACAAAATGATACTTTTTATCATTATACACAAATTATTTACTTACTACCTCAAGTTTATTCCAACTTACAGCATAAGTCCATTAGCTTTCAGGGCTGGAAATATTTTTAGGGGATGCCCATCCTTCTTTGGAGGAACAGTTGATGGATTTGAATTACTGACCTTTCTATTGTTACTGTTGTTATTAGGTGCCATGAAGTCATGTAAGACTTATAGCAACCCTTTAAACAACAGATCTGAACCCTGTCCTCAACCAAACCTTGTCCTGTGCCATCCTCACAATCTCTGACACACTCGAGCCCATTGCTACAGTCACTGTGTCAGTCTGTCTGGCTGAGGATCTTCCTCTGCCATTCCTCCACATTTCCAAGCATGATGTTCATCTCTAGACTCTCTCAGCAACATTCCCAAAGTATGTGAGATGAAGCGTCACCAGCTTTGGTTTCAAAGAGCATTCTGGCTTCACCTTGGCTCCAAGACATATCTCTTTGTTCTTTGGCGGTCCATAAGATATTCAGCGCTCTCTCCAACACCACAACTCAAATGCATCTATTTTTCTGTCATCCTTATCCACTGTCCAGCTCTCAGATGTGTAGCAAGAGATTGAAAAGACCATGATCTGAATTAGGCGCACATTAGTCCTCAAACTAACATCATTGCTCCTCAGTAATTTGGAGAGGCCCCTGACTCCAGACTTTCCCAGTGTAATATGTTTCTTGATCTCCTGACTGCTGCTACCAAGTGTACTGATTGTGGATTGCAGTAAGATGAAGTCATTGACAGTTTTAATCTTTTCTCCGTTTATCAAAATGTTGTCTGTTTAGTCCATTGGTGAGAAATTGTTTTCTTGATGTTGAGATGCAATTGATGTTGAAGGCTGCAGTGTTTGACTTTCTGCAGCAAGTGTTTCAGCTTTCCTCACTCTCAGTAAGTAGGGTTATGTCAACTGCATACTGAGGGTTATTGATGAGTCTTTCTCCAGTCCTGATGCCATATTCTTAATAGAGTCTAGCTTCTCAAATAATTTGCTCAGCATACAGAATAAATCAATATGGAGAAAAGATCCAACCATGATGCACATCTTTATTAATTTTAAACCATGTAGTGTTTGCTTTCTCTGTTTGCACAAGAGTCTTGGTATAGGTTACTCATGAGCACAATTATGTATTCTGAGATTCCTGTTCTTCTCAATGTTAGTCATAACTTGTTATCATTCACACAGTCAAATTCCTTTGCATAGTTAATAAAGCGTAAGTAGATAACTCTTCTGATATTCTCTGCCCTCTGCCAGGATCCATCTAACATCGGCATTGTATCCCTTCTGAATCCAGCTTGAACTTCTGGTAGTTGTACTGTTCTAGACATATGTGAATGCCCTTCGGCCTTATTTTACTTGCATGTAATAATAACCAAAAGGTCTAAAAACCCTGTGACCTTTCATTAGTAGCACAGTATGTCATGAACCAGAATGTCTTATATTACTTATTTTTAAAAGTAAAACAACTTATAATTAAGAAGATGAAGGAAATAAGTTCTTCAAATTCTATTACTTTTTTTTAACCAAATTGCTTACTAAGAACTTTTCGTTTTCAAACTAAAGTAACAAAATGTTGCACTTAATACAGAAAAAAGAAGATGGTGTTAAATTTTCTATGTGTCTCATGCATGCTATCCACGTATCTAAGGGATTTTGGTGTTTTGGTGGTGTGGTCCATTGTGAGTTCCACTCCTATCCCGGAAGTCCCACTTGTCCATCAGTTGGGATTCACCACTGATTACACAGGAGAAAGATGAGCGATCTCCTCCCATTATAATTTACAACCTCAGATGTTAGATGGAGTAAAAACAAAAAAACACCTCAACAGCAGTAAATGTGAGTGTCAGTTTTGAAAACATTTTGAGGAAATAATGTTTGACTATTAAAAAAATTATATAAAGTATCAATTAAAACACATAAATTAGGTTAAGTGAAATATAATTTCAAAACATTCTTATAATTCTTTTCCCATTCTTAGAACTAATTTGAGCTACACAGGAACATTCCTATTTTCATAGTCATGAGTTTAAAATACTTTTTTAAATACTTCTAACCTCTAGAAAAGATTAGAGACTGATTTACTAATGATAGTGTAGGTACATATTGAAGTACAACAGTAACTGAGAGCTCTGGTGGCCTAGTTAATAATTCCAGATTCACTGAAGTCCCAGAGGCAAGCAGTTTGAATCCATCAGCTGCTCTATGAAAGAAGGATGGACAGTTCCCTTCTGTGTGATTTATTGCCTCTGAAAATCCACTGGTGGGTCAGCTGTGAGTTGTTCTGACTCAGTGGTACACAACAACATAGGTACTTGTTTCGTTTACTGTCATTACGTATTTTATTACTGTAAGTCATTATTTCCATATCACTATGGGGAATTTTTTTTGTTTTGTTTTTTAAAAATTTCTATAGCTTTATAACCTTGAACATATTCATATCTCTCTGCTTCAGTTTCTTTTTATATAAAATGAAGATAATAAGAATTTACCTACAGAGGTTTTTAGGATTGTCCATGTAAACACTTAGAAAAGTGCCTGGTATATAACAAGGGCTAAGCACTTACTGTTAGTTGCTAGCTTCTTTTTCTTCTGTTTATTATTACTGTTATTGCTATTGTTTTGCATTTCTTTTTTTCCCCAAAAAAAATACTCTTTGTCAGTTATTTGTATTACAGATACCTTTTCCTGGTCAATGGCCTGTCTTTTCACTTTATGCTTTCTTTGCATTTTGTAGTTTAAGAAATTCTACCTAGTCATAGCATTGTTTTACAGTATGTTTATCTAGCAGAATTTTAAATTTATATTTCTATGTTGAATACTTTGAATTTGGTTTTTTTCTATATTATGTAAAACATTTTTAAAATGTTAAATGGATGAACAGTGTGCTCTCTATA